GGGGCGGGGGAGAAGGCTTCTGGATTTGATGGCGGGCAGTTAGCGTTTATTGTGCAACAGGCCTCTACAGCGATGCCTCATTTTAACATCACAGATAAACTGTCAGGTAAGAAAGAGTAGTTTCATTTACAGAGAAAGAACTGGGGATCATTTGTTCAAGATCTGACACCCTGATGATATCCAGTCCCCGCTCTTTGTATTTCTTCACCTGCCTCTTGAGCTGGAAGCGCTATTAAATACATTTCATTTTTCTTTTCAACTCGGTTTTATTCATTCCTCTGGTAAGTGGAGTGAGCATTAGTCTCCCTACTTTACAGGTGTGAAAAAGCGGTACGTTACTTGCCCTGGCTCAGTTGTGTGGCTCAGTTGGTTGGAGCGTGGTCCTGTAAACCCAAAGGTTAGGTTCCGCTCAGGACACGTCCAGGTTGCGGTTCCATCCCAGATCCGGGCATGTGGAGGCATCCAGTGGACGTTTCTCTCTCAGAAAATAAAAATAAAAATCAATGAAAATCAATAAATGTATCCTTGGGTGAGGATTTAAAACAAACAAACGAAAAAGGTAAATTACTTTCAAAAGATATACAACTAGGGCTAAAGTCTCTGGACTCTCGCCTAGTACCTCTTTACATTAAAAAGCTTGCCTAGGCCCTGGTAGTTAATGTGAAAGCGTCTTGCAAACGATTGCCATAAAATTGAGAAGGAGTAAGGAATGGAGATCTCAGCTTTACCAGTAGTCACCCAAGGAAAGGCGAAGAGGTGTTTTCATTGTCTGTCATGTAACCAACCACCCCAAAATGTACAGTTAAAAACATCCCACTGTGGACTGGGATTAGCCCGCCCCCCAGCCATTCTTCTGCTGTAGTTGCTGTTCATAGTAACATTCACTGGGGGCTGGTTCAGCTGGAATGACTGGGCCTCTCTCCTCCTGTAGTCTCAAAGTCTGTCTCTCTCTCTCCATGTGACCTTTTCTAATAATCTCTCCAGCAGAGTAGCCAGGCTTCTTACATGGTGCTTCAGATCTCCCAAAAGGGCAACAGTGGAAGCTTAGGCCCAGAACTGGTGCTTTCACCATATTCTATTTGTTAAAGCAAGTCAAAGGGCCAGCCCAGACTCAAAAAGTGGGGACAATGCCAAGGCACCTTCCAGTACTAGAAGGTGTGGCTCACTGGGTCTACCATTGTAGTAGAACACCACAGAAAGTTTTCTGTCTTTAGTTGGTAGTGACTTTGGTATTGGTTATTTTTGCAGTTTTTAGTGCTTTCTTCTCGTAAAGTAAAAGAGAAAATAGCCATGGAGGTAAGACTAGTAGGATTGAAAGTGGATTGTATTTAAAATGCTGGTGAATTTCTCTGTTAACTCCAGAGGTCCAGCCTCCCCTGTGGGTCGAACCAGAGAGCCAGGGGCGCTCTGCAGCCAGGGAATTTGGGCTTTAATCTTGCCCCACCACTCACTGTGATTATGGACAATTTACTGAAACAATTCAAGCCTCAGTTTGCTCAATATTGCAAAACCAAATAGTAATAGTAATCTCATAGAGCTGTTGTGAGAATTAAATCAGATAATGCATATAAAACACTTATAGTTTCTGGTTCATAGTAAGCTATTACTACTACTACTACTACTACTACTACCATTCCTTATAACATCTCTGGTCACTTTCCATTTTTAAAAAATTATTTCATAAAGATAAAGCATATTCATTATAGTAAATTTTTTTCATTATAGTAAATTTGTAAAAAAAAATTTTTTTTAATAATACAGGAAAGTATGAAAAAGAAAGCAAAAATTATCTGAAATCTCACTACCTAGAGCCAATCACCATCAAATTTTGGTAACCTTACTTCTAGACCTCTATATATCCATAAGGATATATGACTAAATAATTTTATAGAAATATTATTTATATTTTTACTCAAATATAAGTTTTAGAGATTCTCTAACTTTAATTAATATAGTTCTACATAGTCCTTTGTGATGGGTGCATAGTATTCCGTTGTATGAACGTAGCACACTTTTTAACTAATTTCCTTAAGGATGGACATATGTTCGCCTGCTCCTAAAATTGTGGTACAATGATAAATACATCTTTAAATTTTTTTACATAAAATGAAAATTGTTTAGAGACTACACAAAATAGATTAATAAGATATTCAACATCTGTCTCTTAGGGCTCATCTCTCTGATTTACCCTCAATTCCCAAGAATATAATCTGGTAGAAGTCTGTCCAACTTCCATACACCAACGAGGACAGTACAGGCATCCAGGTAGTCAATTACACCTTTTCTTCACGCTGCTTCTTTATATAAACTGATTCTGCACGTTCAGTGGGTAATGCTGCTGATTCTGAAATGTTGCATAGCTGGTGCCAGAACTGCTTTCAGCATCAGCCACCTGCAGGACTGAAATTAACCCTTGAAGGTATCAGCCTGGGCTCCTACTTTACAGAAGTTAATTATTTCAAAGACCTTGTTATTCTTCCCTGCCACCGTCCTTTGGCCAAGGCCAGCCAGTCAACATCCACAAGTCTCTATAACTTCATGTCTGGGGGGAGCACTGATTGAGTATCAATTCCTTCTAGCCTGGAAGACCCAGGGTCCTCCTTATATAAATTTATCCAGCTCCTTCTTAGGGACCACGTTAATATATCAGAGACCTAATGGCCACCTTAATTAAGTCACAAAAGCTATACCCTACTCCCAGAATAATGACTTTCTTAGCCTATATTCACATAACTGAGAGAGCTACTCAAGTGATGCTTTACACTTAGGACACCTTATTTTTTATTATTATAAATAATGCTGAATTCTTTCAAGAACTTGGAAAGTAAATTTCAAAAAAGTAATAGCTGTTGGGAGAACTGGATTTAAATGTACATCTGACTACCCTCCCTCCTATTCCATGTCCCCAAAACAGAAGATATTAATTAAAAATAAATAAACACCAAATAGTGCTGATAACCCAAAAATAGTGCCATTGACAGACTAAAAAATTTGAGGAAATTATTGCTAAAGTTGATTATATAAAAATTTTAAAATTCAGTATAAGCCCTGGCTGGTGTTCTCAGTGGTTAGAGCGTCAGCCTGCACACTGAAGAGTTGAAGTTCTATCCCCAGCCCCAGTCAGGGCTTGTGCTCAAAGCAACCAATCAATGTTTCTCTCTCTCTCTCTTCCCCTCTCTGTTCCTCCCTTTCACCCACTCTCTCTAAAAATCAATGAAAAAAATATCCTCAGGTGAGGATTAACAAAAAATAATAATAAATAAAAAATTTTACAATTTTAATATGAAAAAAGATAGTACAAGTAATAGACAACAAGTAGAAAATATTTGCAATATATATATAACAGACAAGGGTTAATACCCAAGATATATTTTCACACAATGACAGATTAATAAGAAAATAAGCCAGTGTTAAAAGGAGCCATAGAGCCCCTGGCTGGGTAGCTCAATTGATTAGATGTCATCCCAACATGCCAAGGTTGCAGGTTCAATCTCTGGTCAGTGCTTATACAAGAAACTACCAATGAATACATAAATGAGTGGAACAACAAATTGATGTTTCCCTCTCTCTCTCCCCTTCTCCATTCCTCTTTCTAAAATCAATAATTTTTTTTTAAATTAAATGAGCAATGGATATGAAGAGGAAACTCACAAAAGAGCATATATAGTTGACCAATGAATGTATATGAAAAAATGATTGAATGCATAAGTAACCATAAAAAGACATAGTAAAATATAAGGTATCATTTTTAATGTATCAGATTAATAAAAATAAAAATATTGATAATGTTCAATGATGGCAGAGGTTGGTAAATTGGTTAGCTTTTGATGTGTAACAAACTAAAACTTTGTGGCTTAAAATAACAGACATTAATTATTACTCAAAATTCTGCATATTCACTGGGCAGTTATTCTGATCTGGGCTAGTTCAACTGATCTCTGCAGTTTGCTGGAGACTACACTGGAGCTTGGATGGTTTAGGATGATCTTTCGTGCCTGGCAGTTGGCAAGCTGCTTGGTCTAGGGTTAGGATCAACAAACTACTTCCAGTGGGCAAAATTGGCCACACCTACTTATTTACATATTATTTATGGCTGCTTTCACAATACAACAGCAGAGTTCACTAGTTGCAAGAGATACCATATAGCCTGCAAAGCTGAAAATATTTATTATCTAGTCCTTTACAGAAAAAGTTTGCCAATCCCTGGTCCAGGGAACCTAAGCTAGAAGTGTGTCTC